AATCTTACGACGACATTCTTGTAAGCTCAAACAGCGGGTATCAGTTCCGGTGGTTCTCTCATTAGAATAAAACAAAAACAAAAGATTTTAATTTAATTCTAAAAATGATATTGATATGTTATGTCTATAGAAATCCAATGTTTGTATGTTCAGCAATTGTTCAAGTAAATGGATCATCATTTATTGATGATAATTATCGTACATCGACTACAGCATATCTTCGACATAGGCAAATTTCAATTATAAAATGTATTGAACAACATTTTACACAATTTCAAGGTAATATTAATCCATTACATCTTAAACCTTTACAAATTGTTAGATATGAAAATAATCAAGAGGTTTGAAATTTGATATAGAATAATAATTAGAATTAAATTTTGTTTTTCTTTTGTCTTATTAATTTAAATCTCATATTGATGGATTTTATCATGTAGATCAAATGATTAATGATGGTCAACATATAACAATATTTTTTACTTATCTTTATGCAAATTGTTCTATGGATGACACAGAATTTATTAATATTAAATTTAATTTTTCATTACATTCATATTTTTGTAATATTTTAATATGTGATGATATAGCATCATATCGAGGTATTCGATTTTGATCAATACCAGGAAATAGTATTTTTTTGATTTAATATTTATGAAAATGAACATTTAGATAATTCATCATTTCATGCAAATCTTCCACTTGGTCAAAAAATAGGATTCAATGTGTGGACACGTGAAACAATTTTTGTTTGAAAAAATGTCTACGTCAGAGTTAAAGATACATGAATGTAAGTTCAACGATAGCAACAGGTAGGAATCTGCAGTTTTCAACAATTGAATGAGGAGAACTCCAAATGTTATTTTAAAATATCATTCTTGCAAAAAATACATGATTTTGTCTTAGATTACTGAAAACTGCAGGTCGCTAGTTGTTATTGTTATCGGGTTATTGAGATTACACTTATCTCTCTTTCATTCTTGAACAGACATTAAATGTTTTTTTTTCAAAAAATTTTCTGTTTGCTACTGAAGAAATTCTAAATCCATTTTTCATCTATTAATAAATAACTCCAAAACATAATGTTACTTGGCTTAAGGATATTTCGCTCTCCTTCCGAGATTTCTGGAGAATGACTCATCAGAAAAATTTACAATTTTCAGAAAAAATAAATTTTGACGAGTAGAGCAAAAGTTATCATAGACTCAAAGTCTCCAGATGCTGTCTTCTATACGATACTAGGATCATAATAGTGAAAAAAAGGCTTCCTCGTTTCACCGAGATGCTATGTTCGATTGAATTGAAAATTTTTTTTACAGGTACTATTATCCATTTCAAAATAGAAGAGTAGTAGGTATTTTTCTAATAACTCTCAATAGGAAGAAGGTACGGATCTACGGTTTTCACTGTTGGAAAGAGGAGATCAAGACGCATCGAATTATATATTACAGACTTTTTCGGCATGTATGATTGAGTGTTTTTAATCCAGATTTTGACAAACCAATGTACCACGCTCAGTTACTACAGGGAAATTTCGATTTTTAGGAGCGCATTAGAACCGGCAATCGAAGATCTACAGAATTGTGCATGGCCCAGATTTTGAACTTGTAACTCTCAGCAGTTAAAGGCATTTTTCTGTGTGCTTCTATCTGATTTTTCGAGAAAATTAGACGAAAAATTCAATAGAAACTCTCAAAACACTTGGCAGTAAAATCTGTAATATATAATTCGATGCATTTTCATCTTCTCTTTTCAACAGTGAAAACCTCAAGTCTCTATCTTATTTCTGTCAGAAGTTATTCAAAAAAAAATACTCACTGTTCTTCTATTTTGAAATGTATAATAGACATTATTTGGTGTAGTCATCTTTTTATTTTTTTATTCTTCGAATAAAAAATCCAAATCATCAAAAATACTCTAAAAAAAAATGGATGTTTTTTTTTTAATAAAGCCTTTTTTTCTAGGAGAAACAATTTTCTCGTGAAAAAGTTGCTTTGAGAAAAATACGAAATAATGTACAGTTTTTATTAATTTAATTTCTTCTCGAGTTTAAAAAACAATGTTTAAATTCCAAAATATACTCACGAGAGAACTACTCAAACTGGTACTCACCGTCCATTTTACTGTGGAATTAAATTACAATATTTCAATCTGAAAATAACTTGGTTCCAGACGCTCATGAACACGAATTCTTTTCGAATTTTTCTAATCTTACCGAGTCCCCATGTGAACTCAAACGGTGGGTACCGATTCTCACGTCGGTACTATTTCAACCTATAAAATAGCCATAAAAATTTTGTGGATCACGAAAAGATGAGGGAGTATCCTCTTAATGAATAGATAATGACGAATAACCTGAAGAAAATTAATAACCATTTCAATAATAGATAGAATTGTAATATTCAATCTTTTTTTTTTTAGCAGCTGCTCATCATATCGGCTATCGATGAAAGTTAAATGAATTGAACATAATTATATAAATGATGATGAATAATATTCAATGATTGAAATGAAAAGCTAAAGTCAATAACCAATACGAATTTCTTTTTTTTTCTCTTCTTCTTCTTCTTCTTCTTTTTCTTTTTCTTTTCTTCTATATTCATTTTTCAACCAATGAAATGTTAACTTCTATTGCTTTCTTGCTGGGTTGCAAGATGACGACCATTCATCAATATTATTTGAAGTTGAATTCTATTTCTCACTTTTTTTAACCTGTTGTACTCATTTCTTCTTTGTCGGCAACTGTGAAACATCAAATAAGACACGTTTTAGTCAATTGTCTTCCTTAGCAGCCTATAACAATTATTATAAATTTTGTTTTTTCTCCGATATATATACATATATATATATGGCACCACTTGTCTAATATATATATATACATTTACAATAATGTCATCAAGTTTTCCATCTTGGTTTACTGAAACAATGTTATTACAACATAGAAATTCCTATATATCTGAAAAATCGAATGAAGATTTAGCTACTGAACGTTTAAAATATTTACTTGGTATTCAATATTATGCTGGTTTATTAACACCACCATCAACAAAATCTGATAATATGAAAGAAGAATCTGAAGGTGATATAGAAGAAGATGAAGAAGAACAAGAACATGAAACAATTATTGAATCAACAAATATTTTTTATAAATGTCATGAATGTGAAAAAGATTTTTCAACATCACATGGTCTTGAAGTACATGTACGACGTACACATTCATCTGAATTACGACCATATTCATGTGATCTTTGTAGAAAAACATTTAGTCATGCTTTATCACTTGTACAACATCGTACAATACATACACAAGAACGATGTTTTCAATGTAAAACATGTGGAAAATCTTTTAAACGTTCATCAACATTATCAACACATTTATTAATACATTCCGATACTCGACCATATTCATGTATACATTGTGGTAAACGTTTTCATCAAAAATCTGATATGAAAAAACATACATATATTCATACAGGTAATCTTTTTTTTTTTTTTTTTTGCAATCTCAGTAAAAGCTTTAAATGATCAATGTCAATCAGTGAAATTAGCTCTGATGACATATCGATATCAATTTTTTTTAAAGCAAAAATGATGATGCCTGATACAATTAACCATATGTCATAGTCTCCTTAGAGAACGAACGATGATGATGATGATGATGATGATGACCATTTTAAACATTGATAAGAACGTTGTTAAATATGCACACTTAAAGATGGAAAAAACGTATTCGTCTAATCAAGTGATGTTGGCGCATGATTTTCACACATATTCACTTTCTCCCTTACGTTTTCTCTTGAGATTAAGCGGATCCTATGCTATCGTTTTTTTTTTTGGTCTGTAAAGTTAAAGTTATTAAAACAAAAAAAAAAAACCTAGAGAAAAAATTAGTTTTCTTTTTTGTTTTTTTTGATTTAGGTGAAAAACCACATAAATGTATTGTTTGTGGTAAAGCTTTTTCACAATCATCAAATTTAATAACACATAGTCGAAAACATACAGGTTTTAAACCATTTCAATGTCATAAATGTATACGTGCATTTCAACGTAAAGTTGATTTACGTCGTCATATTGATACACAACATGGTATTGAACATAATCATGATGATTTAATATTAAAAACAAAAACAATTGAACAACAAATAAATAATAATATAAATGAAAATCATCATTCAAAAAAATCTAATACAGGAAAATATGGACCAATTGGATCATTAATTCAAGAACTTGCTGCTCGTCATTGAACTTTAAATACAAGAAAAACAAAATTGACTAACTAACTTTGCATGATTATTAGTATTATTTTCTTTTTTCCTTTTTCTTTCTTTTTTTTTTTGTTCTCATTTGTGTATAAATGATGATCCATATGTTGATGTGTCATATTGAAAGGCGGTAAAGATTGAAAAGTGTGAGCAACCATCTGGATAGATTCTATATGCATAGAAGGAAAAAGAAAAATCTTGATTGAAGTGTGCTAGGTATTACTTTATTATGCATCACAAATCTAGCACGAGATGAAGAAGATTATTAATCTCACATTGATTCTGTGACAAGAACTCATTTATAAACTTATTTTATACACAATAACATGTCTATTAATCACAGAACAATTGTCAACTAGTTTTCCTAGTATTGACGTCTTTTTCTTTTTCCTTTTTTTTTTTTTTTTTTTATATATTTTAATGGTTTTGGTGTGTTCATTTCATATGCGCGTCATCTTCCTTAATGATAATCTATAATATGAAAAAAAAATAAAATAAAATAAAATAGATGCTTGAGGCATAAAATACATATGAAATTGTTCGTATCGCGGTTCAAAATCAAAAGATTACTCCTCAGCAGGTGTTGAACATGAGCATACGTGATCATCACTATCGTTACAATATGGTGAACTGTTGCTGATCGAATCGTGAAAAAATTGACAACTTGTCTTTTTCTTTGTTTTCTTTTGTATCCTTCAGGCAATGTGTATAAACAAAAGACGACAAAAAAAAACTAAAATGAAATATAAAAATGCCAGTTGGTCTTTCTTCCTTCTGGGTAAATATAAAAAAAAAAAAACGAAACCTTGTTGAATTAACAAAATGATAATTAAGAATTATATTTCTTAAATTGATCTTTCATTTAACATAGATATATATATATATCTACTCAAGAGAAAAGTTGAACCTTGAGAAAGCAACAAAATCTACAAATTATATTGAACTCATCTTTCATCATCATCCGTTCGTTTATAAAAAGCAATCATCAACGATTTGAGTCTCTTGTGTGTATGTCGAACAGCTAAGTTTTTTTTTTTTTTTGGCTTACAAGATAAAATCGTATGTGTATTTTTTTTTCCTTCTCGCCTAAGAAACATATAAGAAAAAATGAAAATGGAATATGTCACATTTGAGACTAGTGATGGTACGACAATTTGATGTCGAGACGAACCAGTGATTAGGTTAATCAAACGCTTAATAAAACAAGATGATTACATTTACTCGTCGATTTTGATAATAAAATGCACAGAAATAAGTTTGTCTAATCAATTGATTAGTTTTCTAAAAATAGAATAAATATATTTTAGAAAAAGAAAGAAAAAAAAGAACAACATTTAAAGTAAAATGAAAAAAAAAAGAAAGAAAGAATTTTTTTCTCATTAGATAAATGGTTGAATGTTTTAAAATAATAATGAAATGTTGATGAGATTTTTTGTTCTAATTGTTTAGTAAATCACTAGTATTCGAACGTTCTTTATTGATCGATAATTTCT